TCCTTTTCAAACATAAATGCCATTTTCAAATAATTTTTTGACGTTTTTGTCTCAGGTACTTCAGAATGTGTAATTTTTAAACACTGAAAATGTGTTTCTCATTAAATATGGACTATAAAATTGACTTTTCAGCAGAAAGTGGATAAAATGGCAGTCTTTGTTAGCTAGTGAACTGTGGAGAGGCCAAGAGATAGCGTACTTTGCCAGTGAAATTGACATTAGTATCACTTCTGAGGCAAAGCTTGGGGGGAAAAAAAACAAACAATATTTGAAATCCTGAGAAACTTGCATTTATTCACCAACAAGTACTTTTTTTTTTTTTTTGTAGTCTGTCCAGCAAAATGTTAATTGAGTCAACGGCTGAATTTTATGAATCATGCCTAGATCTCGACTGCATGACCATGATTAGTGCATACTCAGGCTGTTGTGCTCCTGGTGCTTTCCTGAGAGAGCTGTTCTTCTGCTTCTTAGTGTGTGAAGAATGGATCACCCTTTTCCAGCTTTGCTGAAGGTCTGGGAGAATCATCTCCCTGACCATCTTCCCTATAGCCAGTAGTCTTCTGCTGCTGCTGCTATTCTCAAGATGCATGTGGCTGAGAAGTGTGATTTTCTCCACTGTATGCATTTTGCAAGTATGAAACCTGTTTGCAAGAAAGCATGGCATTAAAATGCAAACAAAAGTAATTTACACAGGAAGTTATGTGCAGTGGGAGGCATTTGACTGGGACTTAAAACAGGAGTGGAAGATTGTTTGAAAGGTTGCATGTGGAGATGGCCAGGGAATAAAAATTGGAAAACCAGCTTGCAAATCTGTAGCCACTCAGAAAAGAGACCCTGGGTACTACTTGACACTTTTTTATTTTCAGACTGCTGCACTTTTTTAAAAAAAGCAGGAGTTCTTGAGTATTTTTATGGGATTTGGCTAGTGTTTGGAGGCTTAATATTTTGTGGGGTGGGAATGTTATCTTAACCTAACTTCTCCTTAGAACATATTTTAAAATGAGTACTCTTCAGAACTGCAATTCTTGTTTTTGGTGGAAGAACTTGTACCATTTTATTTTTAAAAGGAAATAAAACACTTTCTCATTGCACTGAGTACATGCTTTGGCAAGATGAGATGTTGATAGTTTAAATTCTAGTATTACAAGATACTGTTTCTGGTAGGCTTGGTATACTGGATAGCTTACAAAAACGAGTTCCTTATGGTTTTTCTTTTTTCCTTCAAATCCAAAGCTTTTTTTCTGGATATAAGATACTTTCAGCTTACTTTGCTTTAATTTGATTGGTTTTCCATTTCAACACTTCCATTATTTAGATTGGCCTCATTGTGTAGTTATCAGACATGCTATCATGCCTGAAATGAAAGTTAATAGTTCTGTTTGTGCTGTGTTCATCCATAAACCAGCCTGGGTTTGGATTTCCCATTTCAGTTATAGGCCAGTCTGATTCTTCTTGTTTTAGTATTGGAGATGTTGTTGATCTTGTAGTTCTGTTGCATGACTGTGGATTAGGACATTGTGTAATTCATGAACATTTTTTAAATCCGTTCTGTTTCATAGTTGGTGGATGTCCCAGTCTGGTGTTAGTTGGTGGCAGTTTTTATAGTCACTTTTATGTAAATGGCTGTTGCTAAGCAGAAATATTTCTATCTAGCAGAAACTGTCATTCATTTTTCAGCTGGAGTGTGGCTGGATTCCTTGAAAAGCAGGCCTTCAACCTCCTTAAACTCTGGTTGCAATTGTCCAGCCTGGGTCTGTAGAACTGTTGAGGCCAACACTGATGGTGTACACACTGCATCAGCCCGCAGTCCCGGCTCTTAGGTGGTAAGAAGCAGTTTCTCAGCCTTGAGCGCTGATCTCAAGGAGGATCAAAATGGTTTGTGACAAGTTTTGTTAATTTAAAAAAAAAAAAACACAACCCAAGACAAAACAAACCCTCAAAACCACATTTAGTTGCTAAGCAACTCACAACAGTGCCCTGCTGATTATGTTTTGGAGGATCCTTAAGGCTCACAGGCTCTCACGTTAATGTGAGATGAGGCACCCTTTTATCAAAGCACTGTCTCAGGGACATGGAGTTCTTGCTGTTATCTTCAGAGCGTGTTGTAGAAGAAAGGGTGACTCTGTTTTATGCAGACAGAAACAAAAGAGATTCTGAGGTAACATCCTACTCCAATTTTTAGGTGGATTCTCTTTTCCATGATGTTCGCCTCTAGGTTCAGTGGAAAGACTGTTCCTCTTATGCAGCAAAGCAATAAACAAAAAAGGCTGGTTTCTTTGGAGATGATGTTGAGGTCAGCAGCACTTTTTTTTTTTTTTTTTTTTTTTTTGGTAATAGTTGAGAGTGGAGAAGATGAGTGGAACAAGGAAGAGTGTGTTGCCAAAGAGGGCCATGAGGAAGCAAAGAGGAAGCTTGAATAGAAACCATTAGACTTGGGAAACTACTTCAGGAAGAGAAAGTCTGATAAATAAGGATAACCTAGGGTGAAACTAAGGTCTTCATGGAACTGTTATAGATATCAGTACTTTAAGCAGGTCTATGACTTAAGTGACTAATTGGTCACTTAAATTTCTTCTGCTTAAAAGTGTACATTTGATGTCTATTTGAGGAAAATACTTGGATTCTTACAGCAAGATAAAAATGTTATATAAAACCTCAGTAGGTCTATGTCAAATTTAGGGTGATTTAGCTGCAAAATAAACATGAGGTATAACAAAGGTGAGATAGGAAATTAAATTGTTGCTTAGGAACCTTAATTAATCAGTAATCAGATGATTCACAGGTAATAAGTTTCAGAATGTGACCATGGACCATTCTGCTGTCAGTTATTGGTGCTTGGGTGGTGGTCAGAATCATACAGCTAGTCCTATAGTGAATCACCCAAACTATTCCAATGCCTCCCAGAAGTAAAGCCTGATAGCTTTTGTAGAACTGTGGAAAGTTCTGTATCCAAAGTGTTAGAGTTCATCTCTTACCTCCTGTTCTAAGAAAAAAAGGAGAGCCGTGGTGGTCAGTGAAACTTACTTGCAAGGTAGGTCTGGTAAATACAAGTGGTATTTGCATTTGTTTCTTTTGCTTCCCCTGTTCTGTACCACAAGAATAGCTACAAATGTATGGAGCAGTGCAGTATGTAGAGCTGCCTGACCTGAAAAATCTAATAGATCATTATTAACTGGAGTTCATCTGTTGCAGGAGCAAAGAAGAAAGCTGCTTGTCCAGGACTCGGTCTGTTTTATACTGTACTGTCTGCCTTCCTTTTCTCGGTGGCCTCTTTATTTCTTAAAAAAATAGAAGATGTACATTCAGTGGAAGTGAGTGCATTTCGATGTATTTTCCAAATGGCATTCGTTCTTCCTGGCTTAATATACTACAAGTAAGTGTAGCAAATATTTAAATTTCATGTTGTTTCTTAAAAATAGATCTAGAATTATAACTCATTTAAATCACATTGTAGTATTATTTTAATTCAGACTGCAATTCATAACTGCATTGTTTTGGATTACTTAATAGTTTCTTAGTACAATTCAGAAAACTGAAAATCTGTTACTCTCTGACCTGCAGAGGTTTCTATAGGGATTATATCAAATGTATTGATCTTCCATTAAGTGATGTTCTAAAAAAAAAAAAAAAAAAAAAAAAAAAAAGTGGTAATTTGTAGATACTCTTGAGTTATTTTGCAAGCAAAAAATTAACAATTAGAAGAATAGGTTCCATACTCTGAATATGACTGGGGATGATGATAGGAGCAAATTGGTCTGTGATCAGTTAAAAATATTTTGATAAGTCCCTCATCTAGAAAGGTGTGTAAAATTAAAAGTGATTGGATATCACAGCAGTGTTAGGATGAGGGGTAATGGTTTAAAGCTGAAACAGGGTAGATTTAGATTAGATATTAGGAAGAAATATTTTGCTCTGAAGGTGGTGAGGCACTGGAACAGGTTGCCCAGGGAAGTTGTGGATGCCCCATCCCTGGAGGTGTTCAAGGCCAGGCTGGATGAGGCTTTGAGCAACCTGGTCTAGTGGAGGGTGTCCCAGCCCATGGCAGGGGGGTTGGAACTCGATGATCTTTAAGGTCCCTTCCAACCCAAACCATTCTATGATTCTGTGATTCTATGATATTGGTTATGAGATAAGCAAGCCAGTGACATTAATGTGACATTTCTGTTTTTCAGAACAGGGTTTTTGGGACCAAAAGGTAAAAGAATTTTTCTTTTCTTCCGAGGATTCCTTGGCTCTAGTGCAATGATTCTTCTCTACTATGCTTTCCAAGTCATGCCACTAGCTGATGCCACTGTTATAACTTTTAGCAGTCCTGTTTTCACATCATTGCTGGCATGGATCTTTCTCAAAGAGAAGTACAGTATTTGGGATCTTCTGTTCACCCTCTTCGCAATCACTGGAGTGGTTCTTATTGCCAGACCACCATTTCTATTTGGGTCAAACGTTACGGGGATTGAAGGAAGTTACACAGATCACCTTAAAGGGACTATAGCAGCAATTACAAGCACAGTATCTGCAGCTTCAACATTTGTTATACTGAGAAAGGTGGGAAAATCTGTGCATTATTTTTTGTCGATTTGGTATTATGCAGTCATTGGTTTAATTGGATGTGTTATAGCATTGTTTGTTATGAATGAATGGCATTTACCGTATTGTGGTAAAGATAGGGTTTTTCTAATACTAATAGGCGTGTTAGGATTAGGGGGTCAGATATTTCTCACAAAAGCATTACAGATAGAGAAAGCTGGACCTGTAGCCATAATGAAAACAATGGATGTGGTGTTTGCTTTTATTTTACAAATAATTTTTCTCAATCATCTACCAACCTGGTGGACTGTGGGTGGTGCCCTTTGTGTAGTAGCTAGTAGTTCTGGAACTGCCATTCGTAAGTGGCGACAAAGCTTGAAAAAAGCTAAGCAAAATGAAATCTAACAGTCACTAGTTCATGACAGAAACAAGCAATCTTGAAATATATATCCAATATTTATTTTTATTTATTTTAAATGTCTCATTTATCAGTAGTACTGAATTATACCAAGTTATAGCCAATAAAATAAGTTGATTTAAAAAAACCCCAAATTGAAGATGTTCTAACTGATTAGGTATATGCTTATATTTAGGCATGAAAATATGAGAAGCAGAATGATATTTACAAGTTGCTTGCTTCCAATCAAAAGTGCACAATAGTTTTTTGGCTTTTATTTTCCTAAAATGCCTGATTCTCTGCTGCTTAGACACTCTTCCTGTTCTTCTGAGCAGTGGAAGTTGGTCTCCCAGACTTATTTAACACTATGCTGTGCTTTGTTACCAGACGGACTGGAGTACAAAAGTTAGAAGGGAATGAAGAGTTACAATTCTATAAACATTCAACTTTTGTAGAACAGATAAAGCTTGCACATTTACAAGCTTTCTATTTTTTTCATACAAAACAGATGCCAAATGGGAATTTATTTTTAATTTGGATTCTAAAAGAACAAAGGCTATTTCACCTGTCCAAGTAATATAAAGAGAAAATTAACTTGTGAAAATTATCTATCAGCTTTACTTTCTTTTAAAAAGAATTTTAAATGTTTGCACCTGCTTTACAGACATAATGAAACAACCTGATCTCTTTTTTAACATGATTTTCCCAATAAAAATGTCTTTAGTTGCTGCAGTCTCATGGTATACAGTTAATTGTATACCACTTATAAATTAGCCATTTCTTGTGGTATGGAATGTTATGCTGTAGCTGCACTTTTCTTTATTCTATGCAAAAGATTGTATTTTTTAGGTATTTAATATAGGTTATTTTCAATGCTTCTTGTGACTCTTTTGTTTAGATTTTTTTGTACAAGAGTCTTTGAGACCAAGTTTAACTCATCTTGGCCTTCATAGAGTTAGGAGGATTTACAATAAAGCATTTGCCTATTTCCTAAGAATTTACAAGAGTGCAGGGTAATTGCAGTTTCACAGAAGAAGCGGGTTGGCGTAGCAGAGATTTGACAAAACAGGTTTGAGGAGAGTTCTGTGGGAGGGTGGAGCTATGCATATACATGCCATGACAGGGAGGCATCGACACTACATCAGGCAGTGCTAGCGGGCAGCTTCAGCCTCATTTCTCCACGTGGCCCTTTTAAATGTGCACTTAGTCACTTCTCTTATGCATCTTCTCACTTTTATAGGCTTTATCTTGATAGCAACAAATCCTAAGAAAAAAGGCTTGTGTTATTGATCTAGCTGTCCTTCATGTTAGAGGAGGGATATATGTTTAGTATCAGGTAGGGGGATTTTCCCAAATGGAGTCTTATGTACTTTTGGGTCTTGTCTCGGTAGTGCTTAAAGAAAATTTTAACTTGAATCTTTATTTGGTCCTTTGTATCCTGAGGTGTTTTTCAGTAATTTACTCACTCCAGTGTTTTTCTAATGGAGAATGCTGTGTTCTGTAGACTTGATACATGCTTTTTTCAAAATAACTAAAATTGGTAGATGTTTTCTTATTTTGATTTAAAGATGACTAGTCTCATATCTTTTATTTTGCCAATAAGAATTGCATCCTGCCAGAGCAGATGTAGGGACTTGAGTCCTGAAGGACTGGAATGTATATAGTACTTTGGCATGCATCTGGATGTGAAAAACCATCTTTGTGCAAGATTCTGTATGTAAACCAGGCCCCTGATTCCATATACATTTGTGGACATGAGCAGATTCCACCTGAGTGATAGAATCAGTTCCTCCTTATTGCTGTCCATTCTCAGCTTCTCCTGAAGGCTGAAGTTCAGCTACTGCTGACAAGGTCAGGAGTAGTATGAAACTTCTTTCACATCTCTTTAAAGACTGATGTAATAATAAAATTCCAGTTTGGCACCCATTTTGCTTAATACTTAAAATTGTAGACTGGGATTGTTTCTTCTGCTGCTCAGCCAACACTGCCATTGAGCAACAGCTTTCAGGGGAGGAAAAGAAAATAGATTGCATTTTTTTTTTTTTTTTGCTTCACTTCATCATTAATATGCATGTGTTAGAATTGACACTTACAAAGGTGTGGTTCCAGAGCGATTCAGATTGATGTGAACTTGGGCTGTCAGCTAGTCCTGCTCCCTCCTGTTGGCTCTTTGCTTGTGCTTTTGTGGTTATGTGGTGAGCTGGCCATGGGAGCTGATCCAGCTACATAACTACTTTGTAAGGTTGTTGGAGAGGGTAAAACCAGAGTAGCCTGAACTTGATGACAGTGTGAAAACATGAGGAAGGGGAATTAGATAATAGTTTAAATTACAGTGTATGAATGCTGCTTTGTCAGAACAGAATAAAAACAATATGGAAGCTTATACAGAAGAATCTTTAGGTCATACGTTTTCAATTAATCTTGTTTACACTTAGTAGAGAAGAACAGACTACTGAAGAAAGGACTGTTTTCTTGCCCTTAAAACACAAGTAAGTGTAGAAGATAAGCTGACCTGAAATCAACAGCCTGATGTAGTGATTGGTAATTTTTCTCTTGAGTTCTTGCAGAAACTCTTGTGAAGCATTTCCACACCTGTAGTGCCAAAATCCCCAGATGGTTATTTTTTTCTTTGTCCAAAGCTGTAGGGTTTCCTTATAGCCCTATCTAATTATTTCCTTTTGCTGTTCCTAAACCTTCCTAAATATTTAACTTGTTGAAATAATAATCTAAACAAGATCCTATGTTGGAGAACATTTTTTTGAACATTATTTTGAGTTTGATCCATATTTTAGAGAATTGTTTAACTGGTATGAGAATGAAGGACTTGACTGGGGCTTCTCTAGTCATAAAGCATGACAAGCCAGCTTCTATCACTGGCTTTTCTAGATTATTTGGGGAATGGAAGACATTTAAGCTTCAAGTTTTTTCAACCACCTCAATTTTTGAATTTTTCTTTCTCTCAAATGTAGGTTGAAATCCTAAATTTTAGTTGGAAGCCTTGAAGAGAATGAAATTATACAAAAGTACAGATACTTGAAAAAGGCTCTTTTTTTTTTTAAATTTAAAATATTTCTTACATTTCCTGTTAAGATGGTCAAACTTTTTTTCTTCCAGAGCTTAACAGTTTGAGAAACTGAAATTAAACTGTCTGAGACACAATTCTTTCAGATTCTGATTTTTTCCTTTTTATTCTTTTTTTTTTTTTCTTTCCTTGGATAGATTTTTACTTTTTAAATCTTTTGTAGCTTTAAGTTTTAGTACAGCAAGTTTCTCAGGGTCAAATGCTATTTTTCTGAGCTTTGAGTCAGAAATATGTTATTAATGTTCATCGCCTGTAATATCCTGTTGTGATTTTTATGGTAAAGTTTGATAAATGTACTTTTCTAATAGGAGTCCTTTGTAATATGATGGAATAGTTTTACATTGCAATTGCGATGCTATGAGGTTAAGTTTCTCTTGAATTTCAACATATTAATTCAATATACTGATTTCAGTGGATCCCGAACAGAAAGAGTGATAAATAATTATTGTTTGTTTTGCGCATAAACACAGGGTAAAAAGATTTTAGTTGTTACTGGTGCATCACAAGCATGTTTCTTATGTTCTTTACTATGCAAAACACTGTAATCATCTCTTGTCTTCAGTGGGATTTTATAGCCTTAAAGCCTTATGTACCTGACTCTTCTATAGAAAGCTGATGGCTGAAGAAGCTACGTACTGTCACTGTGCAGCAGCCGATTTCTTTCAGGTTAAGTTGGCTGTAAAAGTATGCTCTAAAAGCTCTCTAAATACATCTACACTAAGAATTTGACAAGCTCGTTGTGTAGACAAGGGCAGTCTACATAATTAAAATGGATTTTCTGCATTTGTCTAACACCAGTCATGAAGTAACCTCAGCATAACAGCATTGGTGAAATAACTAGTTCAATGTGTCATGTTTCTTCTGAAACTTGAAACTAGGCTCTTCCCCAATTCCAAAAACTGTTCTAAGATGGTTCTTCCTGTAGTTGATAATGACAAGATGGATAGTACCACCCTTGATCATCCTTTAGTATAAACATTTCCACAGTATTTTTCTCTTCCTTGAGCTCTTGTTCAAGAGCTGTCTGCTGGAAGGAAGTTTATTTCTAGAGAGGCAGCCTCTTAAAAAGTTGTTTTCTTGCTAACTAGCAGTAGTTATCCAGGAAGAGTGTGTTTTCCAGTTCTCTAACCATGTCAACCATGTGGCAATCTGTGGCATCAGCCCCACAAGGGTAGAAGTATGATCCCTGTCCCTGCATGGATTCAGGATTGACAGTGCTGACAGCAGATATGCGACACTGACTTCAGCAGCACATTGCAATTACCAAAATAATGTTTTTGTGTTCATATTTGCCTGTCCATCCAAAGAAAAATTGTGGCTTTATATTCCTGCAGGTGCAGGTAACTTCAGGGTGGAACATACATAGACTTCTATGGTGATAACACTTCTGTGTATCAGAATGAGTAATTTGCTATGTTATGTGAGTTATTGTTTGACAAAGGGGGGTAAAAATACTCTCAACATTAGTTAAAGGATTCTTACTGTGTTCTATGTAACTATTGTTAAATGTACGTTGAATTATATGTTTTGTAGAAATTACTGGCTTTGTTATGTAGTAGTATATTTTTATAGACAATTCTTATATATTGAAATGTTAAGAATATTTTCATAAGAGATTTATATTCATCATTGCTAATAAAATTAATCTGAAGAATTAATCTCTGGTTTTGCATTGATTAGTAGAATATATTTGAATGTAGTGATTGTAAAAGCTTTATGAAAGAACTGTTAGTCAAACAGTCCTTGTTAAATATGAACATACACCTCAAATTCTGCTACTGTTGGCATGCTGTGTCATTTTTTTATGCCTTGCAACAAGCTAGAGATGAAAAGAAGCTCCATCAGCTTCCATACAGCAATTTCTTAACTGGAAACACTGTGGCATTGACAGGTCAGTAAAGTTACATTTTCCTGTGTCCAAGTGACAATTTGTTTTTGTGGGGTTTTTTTGTTTGGGGCTTTTTTGGGTGCTTTTATTTCTATATGTCATTATTTGAATTCAAGTCTTGTCCCTTCTGTCACAAGGTGATACTTGATTCATTCCAATGCTTCCCATTATCTAGTGTTTCAATAATTAAATTAACTTTTCACCAGAGGAAAAAGCAGAAGAAAAAACTGATTATCTCATTTGCCAAACCACCACCATTGCTAAATGCTGCAAAAAGATTGTAATAATTTTTTTTATTATCTGTATAACAGTCCTTCCTCCTGCAGTGCTGTCTGGTTTTGTAAGAAGTAAGAGCAGAAGATAACAGAACTGGACAAGAGTATTAGCCTGTTTGAGAGCTTTGTGCATGTAATGAATCTTTTTCTGGGTGTGACATGACTTAGCATTATAGAAGGAAAAATAGATTACGGAAGACAAATTACATAGTGGGGAAATTACTAGCAGCATTAACCTGTCTATCCAGCACCCTCTTCACTTTATATGCTCAAAAATTAACTCATTGTAGGATGACTTTATACCATCTGTTTCTCAGGCTCTAAAGTAAGGGAAAAGCAAAGTACTTCCAAGAGAGTTTACTGTTCCAGGCATAGGCAGGAGAAGACTAATTGTGAAAGAATTTTATGGAGAAACTTAGCAACTTTCTCTTGTCAGTCTGTAGGTTCTGTGGGACAGCTATAAATATGTAGATATTTAAGCTTTAAGAGAAGGGGGGAAAAGAGCTTTTTGGACAGACAACATGAAAATCATCCTTATTGGCAAATGGATAGTGACACAACACACAGAGATGAAGGCTATTACTAAATACTAAGACTCTTGAAACAAAATTCTAGAATTATGTCTATGCACTCCCAAAAAAAAAAAAAAAAAAAAAAAAAAAGAAAGGCAAAAGGAAAAGGAATCAAAGGATTTCAAAGGAAAAAGTATTCCCATTATTACTTGGAAAACAAACTTCACTAAAGTTGCAAAACACTTGGGGGATAACTTGCACGGCACATTATTGACTTGATAAAGTGTTCTTACAATCCTGAGCACAGGAAGCAATACGTGAGATACAGTAAGCAGAAGAACCATTCAAACAGGTTTCATGTGATCCTTTTGATTCTTCAATTAGCTTTGTATTGATGTCCTGGTTTTGGCTAGGGTAGAGTTAATTTTCTTCTTAGTAGCTAGAATAGCGCTGTGTTTGGGTTTAGGATGTGATTTAGTATGAGAAGAATGCTGATAATGTGCTGGTATTTTAGCTGGTGCTAAGACAATCAAGGACTTTTCCAATTCCTGTTCTTTGCTAGTGTGCAGGTGCACAAGAAGGAGGGAGCATCGCCAGAGTAACAGACCCACAATTGCTGACTCCAGAGTTGAGGTTAGGTTTAGGACTGAGGCCCAAATTGGCTGATCATATATTCCATATCATGCAACATCATGCCTAGTATATAGGTGAGGGCTGACAGAAAGTTCTGGCTCTCTCTCATTCTCTCTTGGGCTCTCGCTCTCTTCCAGGATTGTGGCTTCAGGACTCTCTCTTCTCAGGGATCATTAGCTGGGAATGGGCTGGGCCTTGGTTAGTGGGTGATGAGCAGCTGCACTGTGTATCACTCATGTATATTATTATTATTATTACTACTACAACTATTATTATTTTCAATTTTATTGTATTTCAGTTATTAAATTGTTCTTATCTCAACCCACGAGTCTCCTTATCTTTACCCCTCTGATTCTCTCCTACATTCCCTGGGATGGGGCAGGGTGAGTGAGCAGCTGTGTGATGTGTGATCAGAGGCTAGGGCTAAACCACAACAATTGAACTTTATTTTCTGACACCACTGAATGAAGTTCCTACGTTATCCTGTCAAGTACCAGTAAATTCTGGACAGGCTAATGCGAAACTACTTTGCTATCTGAGCTTATGTACTGAACAAAGGGAAAATGAGAAATTCAAGTTCTTGCCGTGCTGGTATAAAGCGATTCTGTGTGAAAGAGGTGGAAATAAAACTCATGTTTTTCTGGTCAGTGAGTGTGTAGTTATTTTTCTTTTGTAGTTCTTTTAATTTTTACTCTGTACTGTGTCTGTTCTGTCGGTAGGTGGGGCTATCTTTCTTAATTTATGCTTTAATGCGTAAGATTAAACTAAACCCTGTTAAAAATCTAAATCCACAGTTTTAGACAATAAAAGTTTCAATACAGTGTGATGTACACAATGTAATATTCTAAATTTAAGTAGGAGTCCAATTGCTAATGAAGCACTTAAATGATGGCATAGAATGATGCTCAGCAGACCCCTGAGTAATCTCTTTGAACTCTTCTCTGATGTTTTAAACTGCATCCTGCCCCACTTCTCAGAGCAAAACATTCCAGAGGGTACAGGTGGACTTTAGCACTGCTGTCTCTGAAATTCTGCAAGCTCTGTGTTGTCCCAAAACACTCAACTGGGAAAGCAAGGGGGGAGTGGGCCTGCCATCTTCATGTGAAGGTCAGTGAATTGGGAGGGGATGTTGTAATTAAATTAGACATCACATCAGTAAAGATGTTGCTGGGTATATGGTCTGTATCTCTAGCATATGTCCTAAGCATTCTTGGGGAAAAAAAAAAAAGAAAGAAAAAGAAAAAATTAAAAAAACCCAACAACAACAAAAAACGAACCAAACTAAAAAAAGGAGATTACAAGCACATTCTTGCTATTAAATTCTTTGGGGTAATTTGTGATGAGTTAAGATGAATGTAGGCTAATTTGCCCCCTGTTTTTCTCCTGTTTGACTGGGGGATTTGCAAACATATTTTCTGTTCCACTCTGATTTTTATTTTGGGGCTGGGGTGAGACCCCTACATAGTTCTTGAGCAGGTTCTTGGTGCAGGTGTTGAGGCAGGGAGGCCCTGTATATCTTCTAGCATCTCACACCCAGGGCCCTACTGCCAAATATTTCCAGTGTCAGGGTTTCCCAGTAATTGTGTTGATCTGGTCACCACAGCACAGGGGTATGGACAGGACCAGGTGTGCTGGAAAAGCCTCTACAGTTAGACTGGTGGATTAAACATGGAAGTTGTGCAAGCTTTTAAGCACAGACATGCCGTGCCTGAAACCTGTTAGAGCTGGGAATGTTTGTTCATTTAAGGGAGGGAAGTATTAGAAAGGGAGGTGGTGAAACATTTAGCTACTGTAGCAAGCTAGAAAAAATGCCTGCCAACTTACTTTCCATTGGAAGGTTGGCTGGAGGATTTTTTGCTGGTGTTAGTTGGCACAGTTCTATTTAATAGGAAGTACTGGACATTTTTTGGGAAGCTAAGTGACATTAAAGGAGAAAAAAAAATCTTTTTAATATTACGTGGAAAGATTTTACATTTGTAATTTATTTCTTAAAACAAATATTCCTTTATATTACCATAAAAACACTTCAGTCACTATTGAGTTTTGATCAGGAAGTGGAAGAAAAAGCTGTATGCTTTTAAAATGTAATCCTGATTGTGTTGGTTTTTTTTTTTTTTTTCCCTTTGCCTGAAATATTTAATGCCAACCAATGCCTTGTAATAGTTGTGTGTTCAATTCCTTCATTAATCATCATCTTTATGTAATATGACTAAGGCCCTCTGTTCTACTGTTTGTAGTAACATATGTAGGAAGTCATATGAAAACACTGAGCAAATATTCTTTACTCTTGCCATATGGCAAAACATTTTCTTCCTTATTAAAAATGGAGAGTGATAAGAGTTCATAGAATCATAGAATGGGTTGGAAGGGACCTTAAAGATCATTGAGTTCCCACCACCCCTGCCATGGGCCGGATAACCTTCCAGTAGACCAGGTTGCTCAAAGCCTCATCCAACCTGCCCTTAAACACCTCTGAAATCTCCTGTGGGAGGACTACAAATAGCAAGGTAGCCTTTTCTACCCCAGAAGCCTGGTTTGCTTGTGTTATTTGTGTCCCTGTTCTGCCTTACTTGCCAGGACCACATAGCAGTATTTCTCTTGTGATTCATTTGATCTTAATCTGTACTAAAGGTGCCTAATTTCAGTTTTTGATGTTATCAGCACAGTTAGGCTATGTTGTATTTTCAGGGAAGGAAGGTGTGAAATAGGAGAATGAAGAACTGCCCACTGTAGGAGAAGATCAGGTGTGAGAGCACTTAAGAAACCTGAAGATACACAAGTCCATGGGACCTGATGAGGTACATCCATGGGTCCTGAGGGAACTGGCAGACATAATTGCTAAACCACTATCCATCTCCACTAAGGGAAAATCATGCCTGACAAATTTAGTGGCCTTCTACAATGGGGCTACAGCATTGGTGGATAAGGGAGGAGCAACTGATGTCATCTACCTAGACTTGTGCAAAGTATTCCACACTGTCCCACATGACATCCTTGTCTCGAAATTGGAGAGACATGGATTTGACAGTTGTACCACAAGGTGGATAGGGAATTGGCTGGATGGTCACACCCAAAGAGTTGTGGTTAACAGCTCAACATCCAAGTGGAGACCAGTAATGAGTGGCGTTCCTCAGGGGTTGGTAC